CGGCTCAGTACTGGAAGCCAGGAACAAATCGTTCTGACAATATTCCGAATAGCGCCCGGGCAATCTCGCATCCGGCTATTCGCTGTCGAGGATGATGAATGGATACCGGTTCGGTACGCATGCTGTGCACGGATTGATCCTATGCCGGAGTCGAGGGGCAAAGGATGACACCGCCGAACAGTACGCACTTACATAGGACCGGCAATCGTGCAAAGGGCCGAGCGGGCTAGATCGATAATGGTAGTGGTAGGGAATCCGCAAGATGACCGAGAGCGACTCCAAGTCGAACTGGCGTAATTAGCGACCGTGGCGGGACGGGACTCCGGGGTCTTTGTCAACGTCAGTTCACGATAAATAATAAATATGTCATGTCCCCGTCATCTCGTCGTCCCACTTTCCCTTTCCCCACCTTTCGATATCCACGCTCGTTCGTTCAATCGTACGACGCGCAGCATTTTCCCCCTTCCCTTTTTTTAATCCTTTTTATCTTATAGAATTATTATCTCCTCGTCACGGTCAGTCCCCCCTTCCTGCATCTCCAATCCTCTCGCTCACACCTCCTTGACACTCAGCAGCTGCTAATCCTCCGATTCTGCCACTTCAACGCGTACATCGTACAACTCCCATCTGCCCGCAATGAGGGCTTTAATTCGCCCCGTTTCAATCCATGCCGCATCTTCTCCCATAGAAACCATCGTCTTCTTTTTCGTCCTCGCCACGCTTTCGTACTTCCATGTCCTCTCCGCCATCAAGCATTCCTCTTTTTTCGCCCCCACTACCCTCCCGCCCTTGCGTCCGTCACATGTGCTCTGGCGTGGTAATGAATGGCTTCCTGTTCGGGAGGCCGAGTACGACGCCCTCGCACATCAGTCCTCTCCTGTCTCTCTCGTCGACCTTCAGCAATTCACGATGTCTTTTGATGCTAGAACAGCAAAGAAGGTGCGCACAGGTAGTCCTCTTATCACTTTCACCCCCACTAACGAGTTGCGTGTAGATTGCTGAGAGTCCGAGGCTCTCCTCACAGGTCGCTCACTCCTTGGATAATATAACCCACTTCCTCACACACCACTTCCCTACATCTTCCGGCAAATCATTTCCCAATGTCTGTCACACCATCCGGAATGACCAAGATGAAGAAACTTGTTTCACATCCACCTTTTCAGACATCCCGAAATCTGAAACACTCATGCTCTCATTCACTGCGGGGGGTCGTGAGGACTTCATCAATGCTCTTGCAAAGCAGGGCACTTTCATGTCTGAGGATTTTGGTCCCATCAAATACCTTGTTGAGACCCGTGAGCAAGAAGCGATCGCGGAGATGAAGAGTGGCAAATGGGCTGTGTATGCGGCACGCGCTCTAGTGGTTCGCTTCTGGGACCTCACCAAGGTTAGTCGCTTTGTCTGCTATCTTTAGTCACGGCCTCACCACACGCCTTCGCCAGAAAGCAGACAACCTTGACATTCTGCTCGTTCTCGCCGGATACGTCTTGATGCACACAACGTTCATCCGCCTCTTCCTCGCTTCTCGTAGTCTCGGCTCCAACTTCTGGTTAACTACTGCAGTCCTCTCATCGTCAACACTCTCCTTCATGGTTGCATTGCCCGTTGCCAATTACCTTCGCATTCCTCTTGATCCTGTGAGCCTAATTGAAGCTCTTCCGTTTCTGGTCTGTACCGTCGGATTTGAGAAGCCCCTTCGCCTTGCTCGCGCTGTATTCGGCCATCCACATCTCATACAACCTGCCATCCAAGAAGGCCGTCTGCGTGGTCAGATGAAGCCAGCTCCTGACCTCATTCTAGAAGCGCTTGACAAAGTCGGCAACATCATTGTTCGGGACTACGTTCTCGAGATTGCCGTACTGCTCATTGGCGCTTATAGCAAGGTCGGAGGACTCAAGGAGTTCTGTGCTCTTGCAGCCCTGCTCCTGACAGTAGATTGTGCGGCAACGGCGACATTCTACGTCGCTATTCTTAGTGTTATGATTGAGGTGGGTCCCGAGTCCTTTGACATCACGTGCAAGGGGTTTTTGGGGGGATAGTCTGTTGTATTGTCCGGTCTTGTCTTTTGAGTGGGACTTATACTATATCTTATTGTTATAGGTGCGCCGCATTAAGATGTTCCGTGCCTTGTCATCGCGAAGGTCATCCATGTCGGATGTCAAACCCCCCGTGATTGTGAACGGCCAACTCCAGATGCCAAAACTCAGCCTGCGCCAGCGAACCTCAGCTGCATTGTTGGGTGTAAAGGGCTCTTTTCTCAGGTCTCAGTCCAAGGAGAAAGTCGGACAGGAGGAGAATCCTGTTGCTCGCTTGAAATTATTACTGGTACGACAGCCTTCCCCCCTCCCCCTTTAAGCAGAGCACCAATTAATTAATCTATCCCATGTAGATCGTCTCGTTCCTCTCGCTCCATCTACTTAACCTATGCGCCACCTTCACCCCCGGTGTAGCTGTACCTCGCAGTCATCAGGCACAACACTCTACTTCTACTGGGGATACCTTCTCTGCCTTCCGTACCGTCGACATCACCAGTCCCCCCGTTGAGCAGTCTCTCTCTAGCCTCGCAGCCCTTCACAACGGAACTGAGTTAATAGTGCGCATATCAGCACCGGTTCGTGTGCGCATGCTACCTATCATCTCGCTACATCTTCATAAGGAGCCAAAAGTCAAGGGACACGATGCCGATGATATGATCGAAAGCTTCATGTCTTCATGGACGCGTCTTGTCGGTGATCCTATCTTGTCTAAATGGATCGTGTTACTACTTGGTGTCAGTGTCGCGCTTAACGGTTACCTCCTCAAGGGTATTTCCACGGGAACGGGCTCTACTCGCATAGTCCAACAGGCTCAGACCGTCCGGTTCAATTCCGTCGACCGAGTTCAGGAAAAGCAACTGGCAGCCCCATCACCTCTCCCTGCGCCCATCCCGATCCTCTCAGAGTCTCGCATAGAAGGTCTTGCTGTTTATTCTGCTGCGCCTCCAATCATTCGACCTATCCCTGTACCAGCCCTTCGGAGGGCGCCTTCCGTGAATGGAATCTCGTCACTCCTGGATTCAGTCGATCAGAAGCTCAAGGCGCAGCAACCTGCATTTACAACTGGGGACGATTCAGATTCACAAGACGAAGAGACCGGTACAAAGGAGACTTCAAGTCCTATTCGCTCGCTGGAAGAGTGCATTGACATCTTCGAGAACGGACCTCGCCCAGTCTCGGTGTCACTCTCATTACTTAATGACGAGGAAGTCATTCTTTTGGCCCAGAACAGTAAAATTCAAGCGTATGCCCTTGAGAAAGTTTTAGGAGACTTGGAACGCGCAGTTTTGATCCGAAGGGCGTTAGTCTGTACGTGTCATCTCTTCTACTACCGGCGTCGTAATTGATGATTGCTTGGAGCTCGTTCCTCGAGAACCAAGACGCTCGAGCATTCGGACGTACCCATGTCAAATTACGACTATTCTCGAGTCATGGGAGCCTGCTGTGAGAACGTTGTCGGCTACATTCCTCTTCCCTTAGGCATCGCGGGTCCCCTTAAGATTGATGGTCAAATGTTCCCAATTCCCATGGCGACAGCGGAGGGCACGCTCGTGGCATCAACGTCCCGGGGATGCAAGGCTCTTAATGCCGGAGGAGGTGTCGCTACCGTTGTCACCTACGATGGCATGACTCGCGGACCTGCTATTGATTTCCCTTCTATCGCTCTTGCGGCTGCCGCGAAGGCGTGGATCGACTCGGGAGAAGGCAGCGCCATACTGAGGGAAGCGTTCGAGAGCACATCGCGCTTCGCAAAGTTGCAGAAGCTCAAGACTGCCATGGCCGGTCGGACACTTTTTGTACGATTCGCAACGACCACTGGTGACGCAATGGGCATGAACATGATATCCAAAGGCACGGAGAAAGCCCTGGACGTGATGAACAAGTATTTCCCCGAGATGATTGTCCTCGCTCTCTCTGGTAATTACTGTACCGATAAGAAACCGGCCGCTATCAACTGGATCGAGGGGCGTGGCAAGAGCGTGGTCGCAGAGGCGGTCATACCCGGTCATGTTGTCAAGTCAGTGCTGAAGACTACGCCAGAGGCACTGTGCAACCTCAACACAAAGAAGAATCTGGTCGGCAGCGCGATGGCCGGCTCCATCGGTGGCTTTAACGCTCACGCTGCCAATATCTTGACCGCAATATTCCTTGCCACTGGACAAGACCCGGCACAGAATGTGGAATCTTCCAATTGCATGACGCTAATGGAGCCGTGAGTCGTTTTTTTCCCACAAGTATTAATGAGGATTGTTCGCTGACTGAGTGCTAGAACGAACGAGGGCAAGGATGTTCTTGTCACCATCACAATGCCTTGCATTGAGGTTGGCACTGTTGGCGGTGGTACTGTTCTTGCTCCTCAGCAATCTGTGTTGGAGATGCTAGGTTTAAAAGGCGCGCACCCGACAGAACCAGGTCAGAACGCACAGCAGCTTGCTCGCATCATAGCTGCTGCCGTCATGGCAGGCGAACTCTCCCTCCTCAGTGCCCTTGCCGCCGGCCACCTCGTCCGCGCGCACCTTGTTCACAACCGCTCTCAGGCCCCTACGCCAGCCTCGTCGCGGCCGATTACGCCAGGGCCCGAAACACCACCGGACTTGCCCTGGGTACCGGGAACCCCCAACTCGAAGTCCGTGACCAAAGTCACGGTCGGGCCCTTGACAGCATCTTCATCGACAGTGTCATTAGCTGGTTACAGTATAGACTCCAAGCCATGAGGCGCAGGTTGTAGTTCATTACCCCCCTGTCTATCGTGGCATCATGCTTCTACATTATCCCTTCCATACCTAGTCCCTAAGCACTTAATTCGCTGGAGGCTGGTTTATCCACACACATCTTCATATTACTTCCTTCTATTACAATAGCGAACATTGTCCGGCTTATATGGCGGACTTGGAATGTGCATTATATTTCAATGACTGCCATCCATGGGGATGTGAGATGGTTGCGGGGCTTGGGTTCATTGCTGCCCGCCTAGCTCAATCGGATAGAGCGTCAGACTCTTATGGCGGGTGCCCGATCATCTCGTGATTGCGATCTGAAGGCTGCGAGTTCGACCCTCGCGGTGGGCTAATGCTTTGACTTTTTGTCGCTTCACGAAAGTTTGGGCTACCTACACATTACTAGTAGATCCAACTTTGTCTGACACCGTTGCATCATCCATTGAGCAGAGCGGCATCCGAAGAGAAGTCCTCCATCACCTTCTCAACTCCCCGCGATGCTGCGCCCATACCAAATCCAAGGCCGATGCCACCGTTCATCGACCTCCCTTCCACGCGACCTTCCGCCTTCTGATGCTCCTCCACTAGCTTGCACAACGCACCGAGTGTCGTCCATTGGGGTTCATACCCGAGACCACCGTTCTCTGGGGATGTTCGAGCACGTGAATCATCCCAAATGAGGTGCACCATGGTAAGGAAGAATAGCGACGGCTGAAGATTGATGAGACCTCCAGTAGGGGCTGGCACAAGCCGTCCGAGGCGACGAAGGAAAGAATTCGACGACGACGCTGTGAAAGACTGCAGGAGATACAGCCCCTCGAACATTTGGGAAAGCATGAGCATCGCCGTCGCGGACAGGCGAGGGAATACGGTCCGCCCGTCGGTGAGAGTGGTGAGCACGGTGTAGACATCTCCATACGTGAGGGGCGGGCCGGCATCTACGATCCCAAATGCCTGCCCTCCGACATCAGGGTTGGTGGAGCCTTGGACCTGCTCGATGAGACGCTGTTCATAACACATGTGAGCGAGAGAAGCGTTTTCCACGTAAATGAAATTCTGGAGGATGTCTTGGACCCACGACGGGTTGACCTGCCGCGCGAGATATGCGCCACATAACATGTCACCTCCCGTACCGTAGATGCCGTTTCCTGGTCGCAGACAACCTGTGCGAAGGACTTGTGCACTCTTCGTATTTGAATTCGAATTCGAGCTACTGGATGCAAGCGGTGTCCGATCGGCCGCCCGAACGTGTCTCTCAGCCCTAAATTTGGACACGGCGTAATTGGAGAACATCTCGTCGTGGCATCGCGGCAGCACACGCCGATCGTCGTCGTCGATGATCTGCACCGAGAACTCCGGCCGCTTCTCCCACGGCCAAAGCCACAGTCGCGTGCGGCGAATAGACACGGAGCCGCTTGAGGTGTATATGAGCACGGTGACGCCCGCGGCGCGCGCGGCGTCCAAGACGTTTCGCGTGCCCTCGACATTCACCTTGTCCGACAGGTGCTGCAGCCTCGGGTCGCGTTCGTAGAAGCGGATGTTGGCCGCTGTGTGAAAGACGGTGATTTCTGTGCGCACTTCCTCCGCCTCATTGCCGTGGATAGATGATGGCCAAGGTGAGTTGAAGGCAGCGAGGACCTGCTCCCGGTCGGAGATGTCTGCGAGATGGAAGTCGACGTGCCTTCCCAGGCCAGTTATCAGATCCCCTCGCGTGGGAGCGCGCACATCCAAGACTCGAATTCTCTTCGGGTCCTCGCCGCGTTCAAGCAGATGGCGGACGATCCAGCCACCGAGAAAGCCGGCCTGACGAGTATTGTGGCATTGCCAAGTTAGCGAGGGCCACTTTCCCGTGAGACATGATGGCAACCGCTCGGTTATCCGACATACATACCCCACCAACGACGATATACCTTCTCCCTGTCCTCGGTGGGAGGAACGTCTTTGACTCCAGTATCGTATTCTTGGAGATCGCCGCTGCTTCTAATGCGTCTTTTGCACTGATCCTCTTGGGTGAGAATGCTGAGGCTACTTCATGCGGTAATTGCATGAGTTTGGCATCGTTCATACGAATGTACAGATACAGAAGAAGCCCCGAAAAGAGACAGAGGAGGGCTGCTGTGGAGCTGGAGCTCATTTCGGCTGTAAAGGATAAGGATATATGGCCGTGGTTTGATCAATCGACTCATCTCTGCATACGACGGCAATTTATTTTTGCCGCAAGCCCAACAGCAACCAAATCCACATATATTGACACGCCCAACGACCGCAAAGCACATGTACAGATTGGATCTACAGATTGAGCATGTAAACGACGGTGGTGCCTAGGCGGGAGGCGGAGGGGGGGGTGCAGGTTCACTAGGAGGTGGTGCAGGAGCCGCCGCCGCACTGGCACTCGCAGAAGCGGCATCAGAACCAGGAGCTGCATACCCCTGAGATGTATAATACTGGTTGTATTGTGCCATCTGGCTTGCCTGCCACTCTTTGAACTCGGGCGAATTCACATCGTAGCCATATGCGGCCCTATGACATTTCAGTATGTAGGAGTGACCTCGATCCCTCCAAAGAACGAAACGTACCAATACGCTGTATAGGCATCCATGTCAGTAGGAGCAGGAGCAGCGGTGGCGGTGCCTGCGGCGTTTGAAGCCCCGTCAGAAGGTGGGGGGGGTGGTTGCTCACCCGGCGGTGGCGGTGGTGGTGCTGCTGATGGGGGCGCAGGGAAGCCCTGGTATAGTAAGTGCATCAGAAGAAGAAATTCGTGCATAGGGAGACAAAGAAGGGACATACAGCCATCATACCATACGACGCGTACTGCATTTGGGCCTGGTGAAGCTCCATCTGTTGTTGATGTAACATCGCCTTGACCTTTGTGTATTCCCCTCGGACGACTTCAAGCAGGTCATCAGTCAATGCCTTTGCCCGTGCGACTTGACCTTCTTCGGGGCCACTATTGAGGCGGTCAGAATAGCCTAAAATGCCAAGGACAAGACACACGTTATGTGGATGTGCATGGGTTCTTCTGACTCCTTCCCTGTTTCCTGATCCACGAAACCTGATCCCTGGCCCTTGATCTGCACGCGGGTCCCCGTCTCTTGCTGTATATACTTGACGAACATGCCCTACAGACGGCGAGTAAGAAACATCTACGTCAAATAACCGGGGACTTACAGTAGGGCCGACAACCTTGGCGCGGACGTTGAAATTCCGGATTGATTCTAGGCCGATGAAGATTTTCTCCTCTGGCCATTTCCGCTAAGAGGATGTGAGCGAGCACAGCTTACTATCGAGCACAAGAAAACACACCTTTTCGCGCCTTCCTTTATCCTCTACAAGAGAGCCCATGTCGACTGCAATAAGCTCGTTGACCTTGTCAATGGCATTCTGCAGCATATTTTTCGTGTTCGCCGATATATGTAGATATAACGGAGGGTCTCTCTCGGTCGCCTTCGCGCGATCAGGGTACCATACGCCTTTTGTGCTGACAGAGGCACCTGTCTCGTCGTGTATCTGACGGAAAATCATTCGTGTGAGAGCTATCCACCTATTGGAAATGGTGTGACGACTCACCTGCTGTTGCGTGGAACCTTTGGTCAACATATACCGATTTCTTAAGTCGTTGATGTCAATATCTTGAGTAAATTCTCCGTCATGTATGTCCTTGGGTCCGAGAAGCCCGTTTCCACCCCCCGCTGTAGCGCTGCTGTACTGGGCAGCGATTTTAGCCGCAATGGCTGCTGCTGCGGCAGCTGCAGTGGAGGCGTTCTTGCTTTCATCTACTTTAGGGAACTTTGAGGGGGATTCAGGGTCATCCCTTGACTCCTCTGGTGCGGCCTGGTCCCATTTTCGTTTGGAGGACATCGCGGGAAATGTGGTAGTAACATTGTGGTGACGCAACCAAGAGGCAGTATGATTATGTAATCAAAGGCACCTTAGACAACAACTATGTAAACACAACGAAGAAAGGGTCACACAACCTCTACAAAGTTGGCAGGAAACGAACCCTCTCGACCTTCCAGCTTACCCTCCCACCTAATGCGAGTGAAGTTAACACGTAGCGCCGACGTCAGCCAAGACCAAACGCGAGGACTGACCAAGTATCCGTGGAGTCACTCTTCTTCGTGATAGTGATGACCTGGCCCTTGGAGAAAGAAAGGTCTCCCGGCTCAACAGCACGAAAATCGAATAGTGCGATTGCACGACCGACACCCTCCCCCTGTGCAAGCGGTCTACTGAGCACACGATCGCGCGCAGCTTCACGATACCTTGTAACCGCTGCATCCACAGCCCGGGATCCAGGTCCGAACGGGTCATCTTCATCCTCGAGCGTCGGTCCAAACGACGACGTAACGTCATGACCATCTCTCTCGCGCTCACGCTCTGCCTGTGAGTAGAACGGATTCAAAGCGCTCGCGGCGCTGCTCGATGATCGAGAGTGTGCTGATTGCAGACGTGTGTGGGAACCGATGTCCACGGAGGAGTCCAGCGACTGACCGGGAATATGCCGCACACGTGAGCGTGTCGCGGGAGCAAAGTCACCTTCAAAGCGGGTTTCGAAAGAGGGAGGATCGTCGATTCTGGGTGCATGGTCGTAGTCCCAGGATGAACCAGAAACGACCTCCTCTGCAGGTCCGAAGTAGCTGCCCGAATTCTTGCGCGCGCCCCACGAATCAGGAGGAAAGGCGGGGATGGTGGATGATTTAAGTTGTTGCCCACGTAGCGATTGCGGAACTTCGGCGCTATGGCTGGCAATTCCACCAAATACGTAAGACGAACCAGGTGAGGGTCGGTTGTCTGCCACCCACGCACGTCCGCCAGGAGGGCTGGTACAGGATTCAAGTGTGCGGATAAGTGTCTGCGCCCAATCCGGTGGAGTAACGCTGCCACTAAGAATCTGTTTGACATTAACGTTGGAACGATACGCCTGAGCATTTGCATCCTGTCGCTCAACAATCACTGAGCCTTCGACCGAAACGCCGCCAAAGAGGCCACGGGTTTTCGAATAGCTATACCTGAGACGAAGTCAGAATAATGTTGTTGATGACAACGCGCACGGACATTGCGGCAACTTTGCCTTTCGTGCTGAGAGCGCCCGAGGCCTCCCCGTTACGGCCCAGAGGGCCGACAGCGAGACTCATGTTACCACCAAGGGTCAGAGAGCCAGCAGCCATGAATGACCTCTGGTAAAACATAACATAGAAGGCACATCAAGTTCCGAGTATGAATCTGTGGGTATGACGACGCTCACAACAGCCTGATGAAACGAAAGGATGCATCGAAATCAGACAGTTATATTAGTCAGCGTTACGCAGTAGGGTTGAGGTGGTGGAAAGGCTCACTGAACGGGAATTGAG